AGAGAAGGCACTCATTGGTACTAACCATTGTTTCTTGGAGCCATTCCCAGCTTCCTTGCTAGAGAAGTCTCAATTCTTTGCCAGCATGTAACTCTAAAGCATTTAGATCAAAGCTTTGCTGAACGTAAGCTCTATCGCCACTATGTGGTATAATCATGAAAAATACAAGCCTAGCCAAAAAAAACCCCCACCCCAACACGACAAAATGAATTACCTAAATTACATAAATACTAAATTTATGAGGAGGGCCCAATAATTACTCTCCTCCAAGAGATGTAGACTATACATCTCTGAACATATCCTAGTCAACCTTTGCATTTGTCAACCATCTATTTATTTGGAGGAAAAAACAGAACAATACTTTTTATGGTTGACCAAAAATCTGAGGACTGTCTAGCAAAGATTTTGTATGCTCATTCAAGGGATTTATAAGAAGTGCCTACCTCCTATATGGTTAGATATATAATGAGTATTTTGAAAAAGGGACCCTACCCTGATCAAATGAGGCTTACATAAATTGTTATTCTGAGAACAAGAGAAGACCTCATGAATTGTGCAAGTTATCATCCAATATCTTTGTTAAATGTAGATGGCTAACATTCTGACTGTTACTTTGGCATGATTACAAAAGGTATTACCATCAATCAGCATCCTGCACAAACTGGTTTAATGAAAGGGCATCAGGCCACTTTCATAAAACATTAGATTATTTGTAAATATCTTAGCAGGTTTGGGAGGAAGTAAATGTTTAAAAATATTACATTGCTATTAAATTATATCCCTGAAATTTGGAACTTGTCTATTTATCAAGAGCTCTGCAGATATCACGCATAGGCAGATGCAAAAAAGGTGATTATGCCTTTGTGGAAGGATACCTCTTTACCATACTTGAAAAGTTGGCTTAAAATCTGTCAACTCACAGACTTTGAACTGGCTCTCAACCAACTGTAAGAAAGATTAGACAATATGTTTCTATGTACTCAAGGTTCAATTTCTTGTTTATACAAATTACTACAACTCAGTTTTCTAAAGACACAACTATTACACTTATATTTAGAAAAGGAGAAAAATTCTGATTTTTTCTTCTTTCTCCATTTACATTTATGTTTGTTAGTTTTATTTAGATTTTATATATAGTTTTGTTTGAATTGTATTTACAAGTTTTGTTATCACTAGTAGTTTTAAGAATATTGATGACTATTTTTTTTTAAACAGACAATAATTACTAATCCAAAATCCTTTAAACCCCTAGACCTTGCCTCCTGTGAGCTCTAACTGAAATTCACTCAGTCCTTTTTCCATTACAAGGACTAGTATTTCAGAACATTTATGAATTACAAATTTAGGGAATATTTCCATTCATAGCTTCTCAACTACATAAGTGGTTAAATACAGCCAGACAATAACAAGGTCCAGATGCTTAACAGAGAGGACTACGAGTACTTTATTCCATACCATAAACTTTTATATTCCTGTTAAGATTCAGGCAAACTCCTTAGCCTTAGGGACTGATACTCCAAAGATTCTTTGCGCATTGTGTCAGAGACAGTTTATCCTGGGTCAAAGTATAGAATGTTTCATACACTATGAAGAGCATTAAAGGAATGTTTCTAAACCAAACCAGGTAAATGACCAAACATATGGAAAGACAGAATCATATAAATGAGGGCAAAATAATGCATGCAGGATTTTTAAAAAAACAAATCATATATATGAATGTAAATGATGGATCTATCATCATTTAGGAAACGATTCATAATCTAAGAAAAGTCATAGAGGAATCAGTATTTCAGTATAAAGTAAAAACCTTGGCTTAATAGGCTATTTAGGGGAAGGGGTGTCTTAAATCCAAATTATGATCTGTGTCAATATATGTCATTTGCATAGTTACATATCTGACTTAAATAGCATAATCTGCAGTAAAATCTCCTTTTAAGAGAAAAACTTTCAGTTTGAAATGAACAAAAATGTATTCAAAGTTGAATAAATTATTTATGTCCAGGCATATTTCACATCTTCATTACACAAGAATTCTATTGTACACTACATTTTGAATATTGTGAGTAGTTCAGTTTTTTTTTTATAAATAATATTGTACAGCTGTAGAAAATAGTGGAATTTAAACTATTGGAATAGGGTAATCTTGTAAAGAAGCACCTAAAAATTGACACTGTTTAGCCTTCAAAATGCTAGAGCTCAAAATTGCCTATTACAACCAAAAGATTCTAAGTTCAGGATATAAAAGAAATTCTACTTCATGCAATGTGTAATATACAACATTTAGTGCTGCAGAAGCTGCAATAGCCACTAGTTGACTCAATTTTCAAAATAATTAAATAATTCATGGACAATAGCCAAAGCTGAAAAATGAGATTTTTCAGTCCAAAACAGTGCATCTTTGATTATAAACAAAAGAAGAGCTATTATATCCTGCTTCCCGCCTTCTAGAAATGTATGGTTAACCAGTACAGTAACAGAAACAGAACACCAAATTTATCCTTGCACAGACATTCTAGTTTTATGTTTTACATTTTGTATGGTATATTAGGGTCAAGGGTTGGCATGTTTTAGCTGAACTTGACCAAGTGCCTGTTTTCAGGCATATCGTACTAGCCAGGTCTTATCTCAATCTCTTACTGTATTTCTGAAATAAACTGCATGGAGAAAGGCAGCCCTCCTTTCTGCTGTCCAGCTTCAAGCTCAGAGACATCTAGAGATCCTGTGCTCCCCAAGAACATGTCTTGCCTCCAGTACCAACTCTGGACAGGTTATATAAAGGCTTGCTTTAACTCAAAATGCCCATCAGCATAGAAAACCTCCCAATCCCCCCCGCTCCCCCAGCAAGATATATCCGAAGCAGCAAGTCCTGCTGGGTGTTCCCAGATGCAATATCTCAGCAGGCTGACAAGTATACAATCTTAACAGCTCTCCCCCTCCAGCTCAGAATCAGAAGGAAAGGCGGTGACTCGTTCTGGCTCTAGGGGGAAACAAATCTTAAGCATCTTCTCAGCGTTGGAGCTGGAGTGGGAAGAAGAGTCATTCTCACTCCCTGAAGTTCCAGGGGCAGAAAAAAAGTATCAGGATCATCATTTCCATCAGAGACTGCATGAATGATAACCATGGTGATCAAGACTATTAAATACTAATTCACAGTAGTGTAAGGAGACAAGCCAAAAAAACCACAATCATTATCTATTCCTTTTATCAGAGTTAGACAAGGTTTTTTTTGACTCCAGAGTGCACCTCTGCTCTGCAAGGTCCAGAATGGTGGCAATGCAGAGATGAGTCTTCACTGTGGTGGCACCAATTCTGTGGAATGACATTCCCTCAGTGATACAAAACACCCAAAGTTGAAATACTTAAAAAGGTCAGAACCACTGTGGTGAAAGGAGCAGCTGTATACATCTAAATAAACAAACAAACATTGGCCTTCCCCAGCCATTAACATTCTATAGTATTTCTTGTTTTTTAATGGATTGTTTTTATTCTCTTATTTTTCCCTTCTGCTTTAATGTATACCTTTATAACTGTTGGGACTTTAAAGATGCAATCAATATACCTTTAATAACATACATTAACAGCTTTCCATACACAAATAAAACTTTCCTTTCACATGCACCTATGGACATACAAAAATATCTTCCACACAAAGCCTTCCAGCCACCCATGGGAGATATAGACAAATTCACACATGCATAACTCCCACACATGAACGAACATACACACATACATATAATCTTCATCTTCAACCTTCCAAATTGATCTTCACTGAAAGAAAGAGGGAGCATGAGATTTTCTCTTTTTGTCCAAGGAAATCAATTAAAAATGCTTCTATTTTTATCCACTGTGAGGAAAAAACAAATTTTAATCTTTGTTCCCTGGAAAAGGAGAGGGAACCATGAGACTGTCACTTTCCTTCCAAGGAAGCAGGATAAAAAATTCTCACTTTCCACTAGCATTACCAGCAAAACATAATTATTTTAAGCTAGTTCTCTGGGACCAGGAAACGTTGTGGGACACAAGAGGACTGGCAAGTGGGAATATAATGGGAACAGCTCAAGCATCCTGGCAAGTACTTTATCATGCCACAGGTGCCATGCTGGTGAACCTGCCCTACACTCATCTGAGTCCCATCCAAGCTCTTTATATTTCAGGAGAAGTGTGCTGCATATTTACAGTATTTCTATACAGTGCTAAAATGTTCTTTAAAAAAAAGCACATTTCTGTTAATAAATTCTGAATCAACTTCATCCAAGCTAACAGCAATTGTTGTTCCAATTCTTCCATTAATTGATTCATTTTATTTTGGGATACATTTTGCTAGTAATATGAACTCCCTAAGTCAGAGGTGACCTAGCTTTTCCTATTGAGGATTGTATTTGCTCAGGGATAATTTGTTGGGTGCTGCATACCAGGTGAGCGGGTGGGAATACTGAATCTGCACTGAAGATGTTACCTAGCCAGGTAACGAAACATTTGCAAGAAAACAACCAAGTTCAGAGAACCCCAAGGACTCCACAATACTGAATCTTTTTCTGCTATCCTCTCTCTCTGTTCCCCTCCCAGCTCCCCAGCAAAAGATAATAAGGATGGGAGGCTCTTACCAGAAGTCCAAATTGTCCTCTTGCATAGGTATTTTAAAACTAGATAGAATAATGGTGGCTGTTCAACCCTGCCTTGGGCACTTGTGCACTGAACATTTTTTTCTTTTATTTAAAACAGCACACACTGACATTTCAATATAATCACACTATTTGCCTTAGCTTGCTTCTCTTGTTCTTTGATCATCCACTATATCAAGGACTACAAGTAACTAACCCTGCCTAGATTGTGACTGGGTGAAGAACCAAAAAATAACAATTTGCAATCTCAGTTCATAAAAGGTATCTCCCTCACAGTTTCTTAACTGATTATGTAATATTGTGTACCAATACATTCCCTGAGGACACAGAAGGAAATGTGACAACCCAACAGAAAATGTAATAATAAAGATGATTTACCAAAGCAAACACCACGGTGTGGGACAAAGGCTTTACAGGCTGCTGCAATGGCCAATTCAGCTGAAACTACTGTCTTAATTATCAGATCCTCCACGCTGGCCATCAGAGCTAACAGAAAAATGGGAAAGAAAACAAGAGCAATAATCTTAAGGTAAGAACTGTTAACCTACAAAATTCTAATAGTGAAAACAAAATTTAGCTTCAAATGCAAAATGTTGTCTCTTGAACATTATAACCACACAACATTTAATCCTTTTGTTAGATGAGCTTGACACATGTTGCATCTGTTTGGGTGTTATTTGTCTGAATTTTCCATCTTGTTTATTTCTTTCATTGTACTTATTTACCTTATTGTATTTGTATTTCATTTTATATTGTAAGCTGCCCAGAATTGCTTTGAGTCAGGTGATGCCAAAATCAAAACAAACAAACAAACAAACAAATAAATAATAAATTCTGCACCTTTTTTATTTATTTGAAGTATTTTATACATTTTATATAATTTTTATTTAAAAGATTCTGATTCCAATAGAAGAGAATATATGTAGCTCAGGGTTGAACTGTGGAATCCTTGGTGCTTGGTTTTTTGCTTGCAGATGTTTCATTACCGGATTAGGTAACATCATCAGTGCTGATGATGTTACTTAGTCGGGTAAAGAAATGTCTGCGAGCAAACAACCAAGCTCAGGAAGCACCAAGGACTCCACAAAAGATTCTGAAGTGGTTTATAGAAATAAAACTTTGGTTTTATGAAATTTTTAAAGAAGGCATGATAACATATTCACCGTCAGTTTCATTCCAAAAGGAAAACATTTACACAAGGTATGTCTCTTCATGAAAGATATTCCACAATTTAAACTTCTAACTTTTTCCAACTGTCACCAGTTATATATATTTGGGTTTTTGCTTTTGTTTTTTGCTATGCCTAAGTCCATCAGGATCCTGATCACTAAAAGCTAGTGCACAATATCTCTGAGAACATGCTGATAAAAGAAGTTTTCAGTATCAGAAGCAAATTTCTGGTACACGCACAAAAAGTACTCCTGGTCCTCTCTACCATGATCTTATTTACAACAAAAAGAAATATATTTCTAGCTACTCTTGAATTCAGAAACTCTTGTAGGTATATTGAAAGTCCTCTAAAGATGATCTCTGGTTTAAGATTGAATACCCATTCTTCAGTCTTATATGACATTCTTGCACACATAGATATCATAGAAACTGAATCCTCAACTTCAAGCTGCAAACACTATTTCATGCATTTCATATTTTGAGTTCACAAGCATGTTTAAAAGTTTTCATCCTAATTAAATGGCCTCAAGTAGGCATATAGCTAATTCCGTACTTAGATGAACAAATGAAAGTCACACTGATAAAGAATTAGAAAAAAGGATAATGAATAAGGACATATTTTGCCAGACAAGTCTTCTGTCACCACCAATAACACTGAGTACTGCAAACTAATTATTTCAAAGACAGGTTGAAATTTCAGTTGTCAGTTAACCAACCTATCAGTAGACCAATCAAGTGTGAAGAACATAAGATCTCCTACAGAATACAAAATTCTTGAAAGACATTCACTAAAGAAGTCACTATTCAAAGGAAAGTGCTATTGTAAAAGACAGTTACAGTTCCAAAGAGAAGTGCACAGCAAAGAAAAATAATAACATATCAAAAAGACATATTCAGAGAAGAATAAGGTAAGACAGTTTATCCTCCAGAAGAAGTGCAGTAGTCAAACTAGAGAAGAACTGTTAGGAACAGTTTCAGATAATTAAATCTATTAATATTTATGAAAGAGAGCTAGTTTGATGTACTGGTTAAGGCACAAGGGTAGAAACCAGGAGACTGTAAGTTCTAGTCCCACCTTAGGCACAAAGCCAATTGGGTGACTTTGGGCCAGCAGTCTCTCTCAGCCTTAGGAAGCAGGCAATGGCAAACCATTTCCAAAAATGTTGCTAAGAAAACTGCAGAGACTTGTCCAGGTAGTCACCAGGAGTCAACACTGACTCGAAGGGTATGGGGAGGGGAGGGGAGGGGAGGAGAGGAGAGGAGAGGAGAGGAGAGGAGAGGAGAGGAGAGGAGAGGAGAG